CCGGCAAGTTACCGTCTTCTGCAGCCTTGAGAAGGGCTTCCTACTATCGTCGCATCCGCGTCCTTGAGCCTCCAGATACGTCATCGCCGTACGACCTCGTTCATCGTCGTCCCAGTGACTTTGCGACTGCCGCCGCTGTTTTACTATTGGCTACTTCTTATCCAATCCACGACGCCACGACATGGTTTATCCGGATGACACGCAACATCGGACACATGCAATCACACTCGTCCTCCATACGACGCGACGTCAACGAGGGTGTGGGCGCTCGATTCGATCCTCGAGTCCGCAATCGAGTTGAAAGTTTGGACTGAAGTCGTACGCACCTGCCGAGACGAGTCGCGCGACTCGAAGCCGAATCAGAGGCCAAAAAACACAACGTTCCAAAGGTGGCACATGACACCTCGTTCTGGTCGACGCAGGTTTTGTCAAGTCTCGCGCAAGAAAGGCGCACGCATGAATCGGCACATGCCGAATCCAATGGTACCCGGACGTCATTTTGCTTTGCCACAACGGAACGAGCAAGCGGCAGCGCGACGGCCGTGGCATCGACGACGGCGCTGCAGTAGCCTTTTGGTGGCGGCTAGCATAGCCAGCACGATGCAGCCGACGTGATCTGGAAGCGACCCACCTCGGCCAACGTCATTGTATAGCCAACTCGGTGCTGTCGTCTTGGAAAGGCAGGTCGATCGTCGCCGCGCCTCCAGCACAGACGCCAACTCGGTCTACGTCGCATTGCATGGCTCGCATGTGTCTTCTAGCAGTGTACGTAATAGCAGCAGGAACGAGTCGTACACAGCGTCAGCGATGGCGGCTCGCGGCCATGTTAATCGTAGGTAGGTAGGGCCATGGCCTGCGCCAATAGATTGTTGCAAGGGTCAATAGACGGTTTCGTGACCCTTGGTTGCTGTCATTCATACGCAGAGCTTTACTAAACGGCATGTCTCTCGCATCGTCGCGCAGGGCGTCTCGATAATAACGCTACCAAATAGCCTTCCAGTCGAGTCATTCAAACCACAAAGGCGTGTTTCAACATGTAATTTCGTGTTCAAAATCGGTCCAATGTAACATCAAAAATGCGCCATGGGGACAGCGCGGCGACAGCGATAGCGTTCTTACGGGGCCTACACTTGTGATGAGCCAATTGTATATTTCCATCCAGGCGGCAGTACTTCCTGGGCTTCGGTGTCTTCCTCGTCGATCGTTGCAAGGCTGGCCATCACCGTAAGCACACCTTTTGTTGCCGGTACGTTCTTGCCATCCCGATGCGCCACGAGTGTAGCGATAATGCTGTCGGCTGTCGGGCGCTTGGCGGGATCGTGTTCCAGACACTGGTTTGCGAGCGCTTGGAGCCAAGGCTCGCAAGTGGCGCTCATTTTCGGACGCAGCGTGCCATCGCACACTCTGTCGAGAATCGAAAGCTTGTCGTCGATGTCGGCATACGGCGTCTCGCCCGTGTCGAGCTCGGTGAGGACGACGCCAAACGAGTAAATGTCGGCGGGAGAGCCGTAGCTAGGCCCACCATTGCTCGATCGAAGTACCTCGGGCGCGATCCAGAACTTGGTACCAACACCCGTCGTCATACAGTCATCGAGTGTCCGTGCCTCGCCGAGATCAGCGAGTCGAATGTAGTACGTCGTCAAGAGAAAGATGTTGAGGCTCTTGATATCCCGATGCAGCTTCCCGAGGGCGTGCAAATTTTTCAGCGCATGCGCTAGCACAAGGGCCACCTCGATGGTTTTGTGTCTTCAACAACAACCAACACCTCGCGGGCTCGTACCCGTTCGAGTACTGGTCGACAACGTTCAAGAACGGTCTTGCAGCCATCGGGTCATGATCATGCACCCGTGGAACGACCCGATCGTGCTTCGGCGAAGCTGGTGCGTCTTTGAGGTGTACGTGGCCGTGACACTGGGCGCACGCTTTGAGATCGCACTGGCGCGGGATCAAGAAGCCACGTTTCTCAACGACATGGCCGACGAAGGCGCAATCCATGGCATGCTGGCGACGATCAAGAGCGAGGACTCGGAGACAACGGTGCCGAGCGACCGCGACGGTATTTTTTATTTGATTCGCGCCGAGACGTCGTTCATCGCGGTAGATCGGCTCATCTTTTCGACTTTATCCAACTGGATCAAGACGACCTTGGAATCGTCCATCGGTGCGTGCTTTCTGCCCCGCCGCCAACGCCCCCGTCCACTATAAGCGTGATGGTATGCTCGTGGGTGATAATTAAATTCTAGCGGATTTTCACTGAATCGTCTAGCGGATTTTTCGACACTGAAATTTTAGCGGATTGTGAATGAAACTCTAGCGGATTCCACTAATTCGTTGTTGTTGAAGTGGGTCGTCTTTTACAATAGATAAAACTATGCTAAATAAAATTGTCGGACTTTCTTCGTTGTGTGTACTCAGTTGAGGGACTTGATTTAGGCAGGCGGAGGCAGGAGCGCGATCCGCGGGACGAGGTGACGTCGCGGCCACGTCGTGTTGGGCGAGG